GCTTATTATTCCTGCGATGCACTCCTAAAATAATTTTTCCCAGCCGCTAGCTTTAGTATAATCAAAATGGCAGGGCAAATTATGATTGTGCATGAACTGCCCTCGTCTACCTCCGTTGTTTCAGTCGTAAGCAATTTTTGCATGACTGAACTATGGTGGAATTATGGGCCTGATTGTTAACTACAACGCAGGCAAGCTTAGAGATTTATTTGTATAAGAATTTACAGGTAAAACAGGTAAATATGGCAATGCGTCAGTTGCCTACCTCAGAACATACATTGGTATGTTTGCCGAAAAATGACGTAAATATCGCTTTGTTGCAGCAACGCAAAAAATCTGCCTCCACGATGATAAAGTAATAGCGAGTTTTCAGTTTTATTTCATGGGATTTCCCCTCGGTAAATGGAAGTTTTCATTTGTGCTCTGCAACGGCTACGACATCTTGAATTGTGAGCATAATTGTGTACCATGTTATAACACCGGGAGTATGTTATTACTAGTATGTCACTATTGGCCTTTATCCGACTTGTCTTCGTTATGATATCGCCAGGATTTTGCTCTCTACCTTTACTGCTGGCCAAATAATTTGTGTTATTAGCATCAATCACAGGTGGTGTTCACTGAGTTGCTGCGGTAGCACTTACTTTCGGTTTCTTTCTAGAGCTTTTTCGGGCCAGTGGCTGTTTGACCGTCCACTCTGGATGCCCACTGTCGTGCAAAACTGCCAACGTGTTCCAAATCGTAGTCCAGCCCAAATGGTTTCAGAGAAATCAATCAGGCAGAGTGGGTCCTTGCACTACTTCTAAGACGTCACTTCAGCAAGTGACTGCCCACGCACAAACAAAATGCTGTCGCTTTCTCACTCGATGATATTCTATTCAATTCAGACGACATATGCAAGCATTTCAAATTCAAATCGATTCACTGATGTTGCGCAAACAATCAACGTCTAAGACGGAAAAATTAATCCTTCGCTAAAGAGAAACCAAAACGCTATGAACCAGACGGTCTGTTTCTGCCCCCCCCCCTGTTAGCCAGTAATTTGGAATACGGCTTCAACCGCCGTTGGTTGATTTTATGTACAGCTTGTTCATTCCTTTTTTGTTCGTTCTTAAGATCAGCCGTGCTTCATTGAACGTATGATAAAGCAGCGGTACATGTGAAGCAGTTTATGACCTCCTCACCTCACTGGTTCATTTTGATTTTAAATGCTTTTTGTAAATTTGTATCGCATTCTTTTGACAAGGAAACTTGCTGGTCTGTGAGAGGATACTCATATAAATTGAACTGAATTGTAACGGTTGGTTCTTTCAGGGTCCAGTGCTCTGTAAAATAATTTTTGTTCACCCTACCACGTAAGTACTGAAAACAATTTCGCATCAGAGCAACTGTGTGTTGTTCTTAATAATCTGCCACTTCAGTGGTTGTAATAATGAATGATTCAACCATAACCAGATTCGAAGGCGTATTGCACCTCCCCTTTGCTCCTGGTTGCCTGGGCATGTAGGCAGGCCAGTGCTTCATGATATTTGAGTACCAGCGGTGCCTGATGCATCTCGTATCAGGTTGTCCGCTAGAGCCACCTCGCGCTCTTCACGATGTCCTTATATGGTTCCACATAAACATCACAAGCTGTTCATACGCCCAAATATGTGAAATAACAAATAACTCTTTCGGGGTCAGATTTCGAGGCGTATTGCGTTGAGGAGGTATTAAGTTACCTACTTGAGAGGGCATTAAGCAGGCCACAGCTCCAGGCTTCAATG